TCCAAATCAATATCAAAATCAATATTTTCATCATATCTTGGAAGGGAAATGGCACATCAAAATCAACAGAAAACACCAAAACCAAATCAATAGAAAATATTGATTTTGATATTGATGTTCAAGCCCAAATCAATCTCAATATTTTTTCATGGGAAACTATTGATTGGAATCAATATCGGATGCTCAGGGTACGCCTGGTCTTCGGCGATTCAAGCAAACAGAGGGACCATGACCATCCCATGGGCAGTCCAGTTTATCCTGAGCTGGATTGCACGGAGGTTGGAGACAGGAGGCTGCGTGGAATTGGTGAAACAGCCCCGTAAGCAGGCCCGGGGTTCGATGAGGATTTGGGCCGATGCCAAGGCAACGGAGCAGGCGGCCTGGATAGGCGGCTGGTTGGAGGAAAATCACAACAGCAAGATGTGCCGTTGGTTCTCTTTGAGGGTTACTGAGGTGAGTGCATCGTGGTTGTACTACAGGCAGAGGAACCCGAAGAGGGTAATCGCTGCGCTGGAGCTTTTGGCCACATTGGTTGCATTGAAACTATGGCTCAAAGAAGAAGGTAGCTCGGCAGAAGTCTATGCTGAAGCATTCACGGACAACAGGGTCAATGCCTTTATACTTCGAAAGGGGCTGTCCACAAAGTATCCAGTGACGCTGCTGGTGATCGAAGTGGCAGAGACGCTTAGGAGATTGGACGCCTTTGCAACGCTGTCCTGGGTGAGAAGAGATGGCAACGAGTTAGCAGATGCGCTGACCAACGAAGACTTTAGTTCCTTTGATGCCCAAAGGAGAGAACATGTGGAAGAAGACAAGTTGCAATGGTATGTGATGGATGAGTTGCTCAAGGGCAGCGAGACATTGTTCAACGAGATCAAGGAGCACAAAGCCCAAAAGAAAGAAGCCAAAAACATCCCAAGTCAGGCAAAGAAGAAGACCAACAAATTCTTTGGTCGTTGGAAGTCCTGACTGGAATAGGGATAGCCTACTCCAGAGAAGCTGTCTGGAGTAGCCGGCAGGAGATCATTCCAACCCTTCATAGTAAAAGACTCGCTTCTTTGCTGTGAGTGTCG